AAATGATACTGACAATTCATGGAGAAGAAAGTTCATTTTTAACAAAATTAAAGACACTTGGTTAACATTCCTAAGTCAAAATTTGAACCTCTAAATAAGAATTAGGATAAACATCATTAACAGTACTTGAAAAGTCCCATAATGTTCTGATTCACTTGTTCATTAAATGTGCATGGTGTCCAGTGACTTTTACATGTTGTGAGGAATGCAAAGATAAGTAACACAATATAGACATGTGTTGCTTAATGTTTCCAACAAAGCTATGCTTTCACCATCTAGTTATATGGTTTGGGCTCATTTCACAACAATCGGGGTTAGCTTAAGACATAGTGACAGCTAATCTTTGACAAAGGAACAAAGAATATGCAATGGGGCAAAGAAAGTTTGTTCAACAAATGGTGCTGGAAAACCTGGGCTGCTATGTGTAAAAACATGAAGCTAGATTACTACTTTGCAACATACACAAAAAGCAACTCAAAATGGATAAAAGAACGAGACATAAGACCTGAAACCATTAAATATATAGAAGAAAATATTAGTGAAACACTACATGATATACACCTCAGTAACATCTTTAAAGATACATCAGCCAAAGCAAGGCTTGTGAAGGAAAGTATAAAAAGCTGGGACTACATCAAATTGAAGAGTTTCTGTATAGCAAAAGAGACACTACCTAAAACAAACAGACACTCCACTGACTGGGAAAAAAAAAAAATTGCACATAGTGAGAATGATAAAGGACTGATCACAAGATATAAAAGAGCTGATGAAACTCAACAAATAAAGTGAACAACTCCATTAAAACATGTGCAGAAGAGCTACAAAGACACTTTTCCAAAGAGGAAATACAAACGGCCAATAGGTATATGAAAAAATGTTCAGTATCACTTGCAATAAGGGAAATGCAAGTTAAAGTCACAATGAAATGCTACCTCACACCACTGAAAATGCCATATTTTAAAATATTTTAAAAATAATTAATATTTTAAAATATTAAAAAATAGCAATAATAAATATTGGTGAGGGTATGAAGAAAAAGGAACTCTCCTATACTGCTGTGGGGATGCAAACTGGTACAACCACTATGGAAAGCAGTGTGGAAGTTCCTCAATCCGCTAAAAATAGAGCTTCTATATGATCCGGTGATTTAACTCCTAGGTATCTACCCAAAGGACACAAACACAGTAATTCAAAAGTACACCTGCCTCCCTATGTTTATTGCTGCTCTGTTTACAATAGAAGATGTAGAATCAATTCAAATACTCAAAACTAGATGACTGGATCAAGATGTGGTACCTATACACCATGCCACTTTACTCAGCAATCAAAAATGATGAACTCATGCTATTTGCAGCAACATGGATGGAACTCGAAAAGACCATGCTTAGTGAAATAAGCCAGAAAGAAAAAGAAAAATACTGGATGGTTTCACACATAGCAGGAGTGTAAGGGATCAGGAAAATATCACGCACACACATGCACACACACACACAGAGTTATTTTAATAAAGAAAAAAAGAACATCAACTAACAACTATAAACCAGAGACATTCTATGGAAGAGAGGGGAACAAAATCAAAACTGGGTGGGAAGAGCATAAGGGAATATGGTGATGGCACATGGGTGAAGCAGTGGTAGGAAGTCCATGGGGATTACAACTGAGATGAAAAAATGCACAAAATGAAGAAAGGTCTCTCTCTCTCTCTCTCTCTCTCTC